GGGAGATCCAGAATGGCGGGGGAGAATAGTGAAGAGGAAGGATGGAGAAGAGAGAGAGACGGGGGAGAAAGGGAGATCCAGAATGGTGGGGGAGAAGGGAGAGTTGGAGAAGAGGAGGGATGGAGGAGAGAGACAGAGAGAAGACAGAGATAAAAGAGAAAGGGAGATCCAGAATAGTGGAGGAGAAGGGAGAGATGGAGAAGAGGAGGGATGGAGGAGAGAGAGAGATGTGGGAGAAGGGAGATCCAGAATAGTGAGGGAGAAGGGAGAGATGGGGAAGAGGAGGGATGGAGGACAGAGACAGAGAGAAGAGAGACAGAGATAGAAGAGAAAGGGAGATCCAGAATAGTGGGGGAGAAGGGAGAGATGGGGAAGAGGAGGAGGGATAGAGGAGAGAAGAGAGACAGAAGTGGGGGGAGATAAGAGGAAAGAAGGGGAATAGGTAGAGAAACAGAGAAAGCAAAAGAAAAAAGAGGGCAAACAGGAGGAAGAAAGGGTACAGAATGAGTAAAGTGAGTGGAAGGGGGACAGAGAAGAAAAAAAGGAGGGGGGAAGGAAAGGAGAGAGAAGACAAGAGAGACAGGAAGAGGAAAGGGAGGAAGATAGAGCAGAAGGGAGGAGAGAGAAAGAAGAGGGACAGGAAGAAGATAGATTGGACAGAGCAAAGAAGAAGGGAAGTGAGAAGGGTGTCAAACACAATGGCTGTTCAGGGCTGCTATTGCCGGCTCAGCCTTTTTTTTCTGTCAAGGCTGCTAGAGGCGGGAGTGGGGGAAAGTCACAGGGTGGTCCTTGTTCTACCTACCTGTGCCATGTGAGAAAATCAAATGAGAGAACTGGAATAGCTGGGCCAGACTAGCTGACCCAACCCCCTCATTTTACAGAGAAGGATCCCTAACTGACCCCTAAGGGATCAGCCAAGGCCATACAGCTGTGAGAGATCCGACTCGGATCTCTCACTGCCATATGGCCTTGGTGCAACACAAGTGGTGACTCCTCCTGTAGAAGCTCCCCTGACCACGCCCAGCCCTCTCCACCATTCAGCTAAGCTCTGGTAGTGCTGTGGCCTGCTTTATTCACGGTGAGGATCACAGGATCGCAGTAACCCTGGAGGTCATCTGCAATAGCCTCATCTTACAATGAGTTTAAGTGACATACTTAAGGTTGTGCAACCAGCAGGCAGAAGAGCAGGGATTCAAACTCAAGTCCTGATCCCAGATCCTGTGCTCTTCCCACCAAGCTAGGCAACGACGTCAGCGAAGAGGCCTAGGCCAGGGCTGTGCGTATGTGTGTGCAGAGATGCGGTGGGAGGGTCTGCAGCCACTTACCTCATACTCCTGGGATAACTTCAGGTTGTCATTGGCTTTGAGGTGCTCTGTGTGCTCAGCCATCTCGGTGATGGGGATTGGAGGGTGGCTGAGCATACCTGGGGGGAGAGCAGACCCGCCAGGTGGGGGCGGGGAGAGAGGGTGGTCATGGCCTGTGGGGGGGCCGGGACGGCCCCGGCCCAGCCCACAGGATGCATGAAGTGGGGACGATGGCGGGTGAGGGGAGGCTCTATAATGTGAGTTCTGCAATGAAAGGGCGGCGGTTAGAAGAGAGAAGGCAGGCAGGGCTTGAAATTAATGTCCTGGGAGGGGGAGGGGGAAGAGGGGAGAGATGTGGTCTCCTCTGTCCACCGTAGCCCCTAGAGTAGGGGTGATCAGGAGGAGGCGGGGGGGGGGGGCGGGGGGGGGGGGGGGGGGGAAGAGACTGTTGGCGGTGCTTGGTTCCTAAGAGGTTCTAGACCAAGTGAACTGGAAGGGAAGGAGCTGACCCCACATACACAGCCGTCACAGAGAGGGGAGGGAAGTCTGGGCGGGGCCCAGAGGGAGATGGACATGCAGATGGGCAAAACGGGAGGTCTCTGGGGAAGCTGGCTCTGTCACCCTTGGGGTCCTCCCCGCCTGGCACAGGCACTCAGGCTGGTGGGCACCTCCCAAAGTCCATCCACCAGGTGGATGGAGAGTGTCAGAAGACCCATTCTCAGCTTTGTCCCCTCCCTCAGGGAGACGGGTTTTCATCTGTGGCCCAGGTGACCACAGGTGGGGCCAGGCAGTGAACAGCTTTCATGGGACGTGTTTGGTTCTTACAAAACTCTGGCCAGACTTGCAGGGACTGGAGAATAAATACTTTTAAGAGTTTCTCGGTCCTTGGTAGCTTGGACCTGGGAAGGCTAAAACTCAAGATTCCACCTAGCAGAGGTCTGGGAATGGTCCCTTGGGTTAGTGATGTTGGAGGACCACTTCCTACTGTAACAAGTTACTTCAGCCATGACCCCTGATTCTAGCCTCAGCCCTAAAGCCCTGACCCTGGCTGGCTGCCTCACTAATGCCACTGCTTCCACCAGATGTGTGTGAATGACTCAGTATATAACCCCTCCCTACTCTAGGGCAATGTCCTCCCTGCTGGTGGGTCCAGAATGTGTTCTGAGCATCTTAAGGACGAGCTCTTTGTTGCTGCGTGTGTGTGTAGCCTCCTGCCCCAGGGTCCTGGCAGGATGCCCTGTCTCCACTCTGGGCCGTGGCTCACCCCCACCACCTTCAGAGCCTACCAGGGGTGGGGTAGGGGATGAGGGTGACTGCTGAGAATTTCGAGCCAAAGAATGTGTCATGGTGAAGCAAGGGGTGATCAGCTGAAGAGAGCGGGGCAAAGCAAGCGCTGCTCCCTAGTTTTACAGTGCACACCCCTCCTTCTCCCCTTCACTCCTGCCCTTAGGGACAATGAGGCAGACAACAAGGTGGGGTGGGCCCTCCTGCCTCATCAACCTGGAGTCCCTTTTGGGGGACAAGGAGCTCCTTAGGCTGGGAGACAGGAGAGCCTTGGATTCTAGGCCTAGTTCTGTCCCTGATTTGTTGTGTGACCTTGGATCTCTGGGCCTCAGTTTCCTCATCTGTAAAATGGGAGTAATATATCACCTGCCTACCATCCAACGAGAGGATAAATGAATGGATGGGAGGATGCTTTAGAAAGGCTAACACATGTTAATACAAGGACTTGGTGTTACTCACCATCTACCAACTCCAACTCCTCCCATCAATTAAGTGACCACAAGTGGACCAGTTGCTCCCCTCAACCCCCGACCCACACCCCGAGGTCATAGCATCACATGACTGAGAACTGGAAAGGGCACTTAGAGATGGATGGTCTAGTCCAGAAGAAGAAACTGAGGCTCAGAGAGAAGGGAAGGGGCTGGGCCCATGTTACACAGACAGGAGGAGGGCAAGGACTGCTCTGTCTACTATGACACAGGTGGTGAGAATGTTCTCTGCGAGGGACAGATGAAGGCCTGCCAGCACCCGGGCATCCCTAAGTTGGGAGGCCAGGTGGGAGAAGGGCCTGTCTTTGAGTTCTTGGTGCCCCGTGGGGAACTCAGGGTATCCTAAACAATGGACTGAGGCAGGCCTTCAGCCTCTGCTTTAAAAGACTCATTCCCCTCCTCCCCTCCGTGGCCCAATTCCTGTTTTTGGAAGCTTAATCTAATTTGTTGGAAACATCGATCTACTTGGGGGAAGATCGATTCCTCTTTTAGGACGATCCTTCCTTTTCTTCTGACCATTGATCTCTATTTTCCTGAAGAGCCATCATTAGGGGGAAAGACAGATCCCTCTTTGGGGAGAAGGCACTCTGTTTGGGGGAGAGAGGGAGGTGGTTCTGAGAAGGGAAAGCTTGGGGGGAGGGAGAGAGAGAGAGAGAGAGAGAGAGAGAGAGAGAGAGAGAGAGAGAG